CATGCTGAATGAACTGCTGTAGGCTATTGTGATGTCACAATAATGAATTGTTTATGCAACTCAGTTTCAAATAGGGACTGTATGGGCTGGGGAATGAAAGGTACATTTTGAAATTTTAGCTGTGTTTATGCACTATTTTAAGACCGTATATTGTGGTACAAGCAGTTTACTTCATTCACCTTATCATTGCTGACACTTCAATACTTTGCAACTCCTCTTTGTTATATCTGAAAACACCAGCTCCACTTTATGTTAATATTTCATGACAGTGGAAATATACACATGCAGTCAGTACATTACAGTAAAGTTTCAGAGGTACAAGGTTTTGTAGTGAAAGAATCTATTCCAAGTACATCTTCAATACTCCTACTGCATAAAACTGTGCCTTTCTAGCCAACTGATTCTTAGAAGCAATGTCCTCAGTACACCATGGAATGCACAGAACAAACGACACACAGGTAACGGCACTGCTTTTAAAGATAAGCAGATTACTGTTAGCGTTATCAGGGTTAACAGAGACGCAGGCGTCTAGACACTGTAAGGCTGTCACAGACCTCAACTAGTAATGACGGATGACCTCCTGCTTCAGAGTGGCCAGTCAGAGGGTGCGCACATGCACACACACACACACTCGCACATATACAGGCAACTTTCATCTCCATCACCCACTCAGATCAAAGCGCTGGGAAATATTACCCATGCCACACAAAAACATGCAGCATGGAATAGTGTGGAAACAGCCTGATCAGGGCAGACTGAACAGCAGTGAGGGCAAAAACTCACATATCTGACTCCCTTTTTATTAGCAAAAAGATAACAGAACAGACTGGAAAAAGTTACTGATTCACAAGCCTGTCATCTGTCAACTGAGACATAATAATACCACCAGCTGTTTTTCTTGACCCAGGCGGAGACTAGCAAGCCCTAGTTAAAAAGCGTTCATTTAAAGGAAAATGAACTTTTCTCACAAGAGCTTAATGTCTGTAAGACTAGTATGTAAACATTATTAACGCCACAAAACGTACCATTCATTCCCCAGTCAACTTAATTTACCAAAATTGAAGCTCCACTGCAACTTTTTTGTTAAAATTGAAAGAAGCAGCATTACTGAATCAGGAGAAAAAACATATTAAAATATGGTGTGGGTGTGTGTGCGCTGCGAGTCACCCTGAAAAGCCTGAAATAGTCAGAGATGTTGAGTCAGACTTTGTAGGAGTTTTTCACGTCTCAAAAAGAAGGTCCAGCTCGATGAGATCACAAATGCAAAAATCTACACTACATCTACATTACATTGATAAAGATATGATGACAACAGTAGATAATCTGAGGACAACCAACATTAAAAACCATCACATTTCTACCAGAGAGTCTCTAAATCCCTAAAACTTACATAGTGTAGCTTTAGGGTGCAAAAATAGCATGTTTGTGGTGTCAAGAAAAACCAATGCATTTACATACTATATATTTGCCTATTCAGCCTAAAGCACTTCAGCTCCATCCATTCCCATTGAAGTAATGAGAGCTTCAGCATAGATTCAATTGATGTACACACACAACAGCTAATCAGCAGAGAGGTCATTTATATATCTCAGTCTTACAGGCACAGTAACAAGAAGAGTTTGTTCAATCCTGCATGATTAAAAGAGGTAGAAAAATGATAATTTTAAAAATGTATTGTTTTTGGTGCATAAGGCCACACAAACGTCGTTAGAGGGCTTTAGGGGAAAAAATATCAGAAAAATGTAGGATATGTGGCCTTTAAGGTTTAACCCTGTGCGGCTGACCAAAACCGACTAAAACATCCGTGAAGAGTTGGCGGCTACAGTAATGATGCACAGATTATGTGGTTGCAAATTCACAAAGGCGGGCAGTTTTAATTTCTGGGGCTGAAAGGAAGGAAGGTGCTGGGGGGGCTGAGGCTCGCTGTTAATGCATACATACACACACACATACACATTCAGTGGAGGCATAGAGATTAATGAGCTCTTATTAAAGAGGGAATATGACAGACAGAGCAGTGGACGCGTCTGGAATACGGTGGCACTTAATGAGATGGAGACGATGCACCCAAGCTTCACAAATATTCAGAAAGAAGGAAAGGAAGAGGAGAGAAAGACTGCTCCGAGTGTGTGTGAAAACAGTTAACATTGGTAGATTCTCTCCTTGAGTGTCATTTTGTCTATAAAAAGGAGAATGTGATGTCTGTGGCAGCTCTGGATTCTTAACTAACACTGATGTCTTTGTCCCAGCTGATATTTTGACTGGGTGGACTGGAATACACATTCCATCACCAGTCAAGTATGCCAGAAAACAGAAGAGAAATAAAGAAATAATTAAGTGAGAATTCACATTTACACAATTTACTCCTTATCCCAAGTCAGCCAAAACATGGTTAGTGTCTAAAGTTTGCTTTTTTTAGTTATGCACTATAGGCTAATGTAGCTAACAACTAATGGAAGTTTATAATCACCAATTAGCATCATTACACTGATAATTATAACCTTTGACACTGTATGCTATACTGGTATTTACAAAAATATAACATACTGTTAAAGGAAAAGAAAAAAAACAGAAAACAAAACCCCTTATTTATAAAAACGCTTTAGTACATTTAGTCTTTTCCTTTAAATCCATTTAGACAGGAGGAGAGAGGTCATGCAAACATCCAAAGGCCAAGGCTGGGGCAAGCTCTCATGGGAACGGCTTATCAGGTTAATGGCACCACAGTTTCCTACTTCCTCCAGTGCGCTCTTTTCTATGACATTACGCCATGTTTCTCCACCACCTCTTTTTAATTCCTGTAATATATTCCACAGAAGCATTTAGGACTTATGCATCCTATACAAAGCTTCTCTTTGATCCACCCGGATCAATAATAGACCCATTAATTCATACAACGCATGGCATACTCTACTGCACTTTACACATCAATAAAGAGAGATAATCAGGAATGAGTCCTATATTCCCTCTGAAACACTTGCTCCCACACACACCTTGAGAAACGTGTACTGCTGAGCCACAGAACAAGCAGCTAATAGAAAATCAAAGACCTCAACTCCAGACCTTCCGCAAGTCACTGCAATTACAAGGTTGCACCCTGCAGCATGAATATACACAGGTCCACAGCACATTAAATGAAGAGAGAGAAGCCTTGTCCTTATCATCCAAACACAAAAGGGTCAATCTGGTGAAGATGTCTCTATAACAATTCCCTCTGCCTTCTGCCTTTTAACCAGCGTTGAAAGTTTTTACTCCCCCTCCTTATAATGTTTTATCAGGCACTTTGAGCTACAATTCATCAATTAAAAAAGCACTATATAAATAAACGTGTTAACTAAATTATTATTAAATTAGTTCATTACAGCAAATCAGGATCTCTTAATGAATATAAAGGTCACGCATACTGAAGGTTTAGAATTATGACTCCATCTGACATTTTGTCAAAATTGAGTTATGTAAATAAAGTTAATCATATAGTAATGACTACTGCTGCTGTGGTGAAAATCTTTGAAAATTATCATTATGGAGACTGTAGTTTTTATGTTTTATAATAAAGCTTTCTTCTTGAAAATCGCATACTAATCCAATTGCATCTGCGGTCCAATCAGTGCGGGTGATGAATGTGAGAAAATAAATCAAAATTAATTTTTTACCCATGCCGGGAAAAGCTCAGCTTTAGTTGGGATTTGTTTTATAAGGGCAGTGGAGATAATGTATTTTTTAGGCTACCAATGTTTCTCAGTGATTTCAGTCCCATCCAAATCTGTGATGTCTGGAACTTTTTACATAACTTTTTTAATATTTAGGAGGGGGATGTACCAAGAGTCAGTTCTCAACTTTGAGTAAAACAACAACTGAAAGTATCTCAGCAATTAACTCATCACTGTTTAAAGCAGCTGTAGCGATCTAATATGCAGTAAGATATGAAGACTCCAGTTACATTGCTCTTAATCTGAGAAGCAGTAACAGTGTGTTTTCTCCCTTCATTTGGCTTGTTAATTCGCTTTCTCCAGTGTTTTGAGTGTTAATGTCCTGAATGTTATCCCTAAGCTAACCAAGATTCAGGTTAGCAAACGTTAGTAAATCGGCAAGTCTACTCACAAATACATTTGTTTTTGGTCTCTGTGTTTTTCGCAATCTAGACTCTTCAGTGTTTCAAATGTAACTAGATGACAACCCACACTGGGGAAAAGTCCAAGAAATTCCATGACTTTTCCAGAGCATTTACACTCAATACCTGCACTGAACACAGTTGGTATCAGATTTAGATAACAGTCAGTTGAAGTGAAGACTGCCATCTGCTATTCAAAATATTCAACAACCTGGATACTGGAAATGTCAAAGCGTTTCAAAAGGTCAAAAGGTAAAAATATGAACCCAACATATTCTGGCAAGACACTGTGAACCTTTTGGACAACTTAATTTACAGCTGAGCAGAAGAGTAGGGCATAAATAATGTCCAAATAAACAAACAAAATGAAACCTACTCTTCTACACAGCAATGTGTCACATTAGATCTGCTGAATCTCAGGCTCCACTGAGAGTGTGCAGTGTGAGAGATGGTGTATTCCAGAGGGCCTAGCTGACTCTGAGTGTAGAGTGACTAATAAAGCCACACCAAGTCTGCTGACTTCATCAGGCCTATGAGCAAAGAGGAAAGAAGGAGTGCCCCTCTGGAGGCCCAGAGCTCAGTGGATCGGTTTCCACACTGATGTGCCATGTTACACACCCCCACACACCGCACCCATGGCCTAAGGCCTCCTCGGCTCACTTGACACCTGTAGGAGAAAAACAAGTCCGCTGTACCGCACAAGCAACACACACTACATTAGTCATCTGCACACCAAAACACACAAGATCTAATCATGCATTCAGCTGCTGAACATCTTTACTTCGACAAAATGACAGGACATGGAATTTATATGTTCTTTTGAGAGGCCAAAACTTGGCTACAGCTGCCTCTCTCCACTTTCACAGAACAACATGTATCTCAGGATCTACCGGTCACGCTGATATCACTTTGCTCTTTAAACACACCACAAGCTTCTTTTTTTTTTACTCAATCTTTGCCATTCACATGCTTCACACTTGGCTCCCAGGTGAGTTAGCACACACTCGCTACCTGTGAATGTAGACCTTTGTTCAAATTTAGAGAGACTAGCACCTTCTCATTTACCTCTTACTCCAGTGTCAATGTTGTAATGCACAATTGAGTTCAAGGCTACAAGATCTCACTCAGCAGTGTTTTTTTAATTTAATAACACCAGTGAAAACTAGCAGGAGAAAGATGTGAATTCATACTTGAGCCATGGAATGTTTTATACAGTTTCCATAGTGACTTGCTGTTATTCCTCAGTAGTAACTTGTAGGATGGTTGGCAAAGATGGAATAAGACTGCAGATGTGGATGTGGGTTTTTTTAACAGTCTGTTGGGACAATGTAAGATTTGGTTTCCTGAGGAGACAGGATATAATCAACAAAAAGTCAGTTAAGTCACTAAGACAAGAGGAGAAGACATTTATGAGGTAAAGCCTTTTATCTACACATTCAAATACAAACAAAAGTGTGAAACCTACTCTGGCCGGTCATACTATGCATTATTAACCACATAAGCCAGAAGGGCCGATAGCAGTCTGGGGACTCTAGGGCCCAGTATGGCACAGTTGGCTCAGCAGATGGCCTGTCAAGCCAGAAGTGCAAGGGAAAACAGGATGGCCCCACTGCACATGAGTCGTTTGTGCGTAGCGAGAATAGGAGCAGGCAAGAGGAAGAACCGAGGCTCAGGTGGCGAGGGGTCTGGTTGAGTGAGTGGCTCAAAACGCCTTTGGAAAATACCTGCTCATGAGGATCTAGTACCAGTGTAGGACCTCGAACTCCCAATCTTGGTGAGTGAAAGGGGAAGCACAAGGCTGATCACAGATCAGAAAAAGATGGCAGAGTGTACCAGTTCCCTGGCAGACCCGTGTCTCCAGGTGGCGGGGTGCTAGAGTGAGCAAGAGATGACTGGCACGGCCCCTCCACCACCTGGCCCTCGATGGTTCTCAGCAGTCGACCGCAGTCAAACAAAAGGCCTTGCGAGAACCATCGCAAATGGTGGTCGGACACACCATATCATACCGGGAGCCCCAAGCTATTACATCAGCGTTCCACAAAGAGGATCAGCAAAAACAATTCTGCGCTTCAAAAATAAACCAGGTCAACTGTTGTCTTCAGCAAAAAGACATTCATCTTAGTAGAATTGCTGAGACAAATGTACAACAGAGAGCCCGATATTTTGAAATTCAAAAGGTCTCCAGGGCAGTTAGTGCCAGGCTACACAAACAGAGGGGTCTGCTGGAGATCAGCCTGGTTTTGATTTAAAAAAAAAAAATAGGGGCACGGGAGGATTCTAGGGAACTAAGCCAAACAAACACGGTCCGATTCATGGCATGCTGAATGCGCCAAGCTTTGACCTGGAGCGTCACAGGATCTCAGGATAGGAACAGTGATGCATGGCTGGGTCCTGAGGTCACTGCGCCACACTCCTCTCCTAAGCTATACTCCCTTCAGGAAATGAGGCTCTGAACCCAAAACGTTCCCCCACCTCCACCCCATCCCTAATCAAAACAGTAATAAAAGCACAACAGTGTCCAGCTTTCCGGAGGCATTAAGTCTGGCATGACTTAAGGTTGCTGCACTCACTTTTACATCAGCTCAAAACAATGTTTACCAGGCATCTCAGTCTCAGAGGTTTCTGATAAGGACAGAAACCTCATACCACTTAAAGACATAGAAAGGACAACAGTCAAACAAGTAAATCAATCACTAAAATCAATATGTCACTCCCCAGCTTCCCCTTAAATGACTTCTGTACAATCCATTTTGTTACTGTTTCTCTGTCTTTAATATGCAACACCTTGTACCACTACAGCAATTTTCAAACCCAGGAACACTTCCTGAAAGGATGAGAGTGGTGGAGTTACAGCTCTCAGGAATGCAAGCTGAGGATGCAATGGTCTGTCTGTCCAAAAAGGAAAAAAAGTTAAAACATGTACCCCCACCCCAGAGGACACCATTAGTCCTTCCTCTGTTCTGAGCGCCCTTTCAGTCTGCTCACTCTGGCCACGAGCACAGGAAAGACTCCTCTACACGTGCTCTGTATGCGGAAGGGTGTACGACCGGGCTGTGCCTGGTCCATCAACGGCAGCATTACATGAGGGAGACAGAAAACTACGTGATTGTGCATTTTTCCCTTCTGTGTGTGGCAAATGGGAAAAGGGCCAAGGCTTTTATATGTCCCCTAGGAACAAGGAATGCAATGAGGCCTCAAAGTTCAACATGGAAACGAAATGTCAGTTTGGTTTCGCATCACACTTTACAGCTATTCAAGCTCAAGTTCAAAGGCCACAGGAATGTATGAGCTGAAAGAGAGGTGGTGAGACTGTAAGAGGGAAAACTGCTTGCTCTGCTTGTACCTGTCCAGTATCATATGCAAAATAAATATATTTATATTTGTTGATGCAAGTATGCAAGGAGATGCTGATAAAAGCATATAACATTGTCTAACTATAATGCCCTAAAAACAAAGTAGACTTCAGATCGCATTGAGTAGAATAGAAGGGTAAGTGCTACCTTCCCTTAAACATGTTACTTCACATTTTCTTCCAAACATCTTCATGTTGAAATGCACACCATCAATGGCTATGTGACTTGCTATGTGAAGAAAAACCAAACAATTCACACTCGGTGAAAAAGATTCTATGACTTTGGCCCTTTGAAATCCGAAGAAAATCCACAGAAAGTCAAGCAGTTAAAACAATCTGATGGTACTGTCTGTGGGTGCATATGGGTGTATTTAACAGAAGTAAAGACCCTCACAGCCAAGCCAGTCTCCCCTCACTGACACTGAGAAAACCCTCATCCCTGAGAATCTCAGCAGCTACGCTTGATCTTACACCTGCCTGAAAAACAGCACCACCATTCTCCCTCTCGATATTTTGCTCGCTCTCCTTCTTTCTCATGTGACCTCCATTATGTAAAGTGGAAGCAGAGTCTTGCCAAGTAGCACACGTGTTCTTTCAATTCATCAGCCTTCAGTATAAGGCATGATATCTACCTACAGACCCTCCAAAACCACCTCAGAGAACAAGCCAATGCACATACTACACGCTCAGAGGTCAGCAGCCTTGATGCTCGTCATTATTGTAATGGTCCAGGGCGAGGGCCAGAAAAAGGCGTCTCCTTCCTCTCCGAGGGGGGTGAACAGGGCAAAGAGGCGGCCAGTCCCTGCGTCATAGCTTTGTCTTCCATTAAACTTGCACACAAATGCTTACCCATAGGCGCTGACCAAGCATGTGTGATCTGTCTCTACGAGTCAGGTTTCACTGCTTGCTGAGGCTTTCTGAGCTCTGAATAACAGGCTTTAGCCTTGTATCAACCCTCTCAATCACTTCATTCTGTTGTGCCAGATGTTGTCCTCCTCTGCAGCCAGCAGAACTTCAGCCTGCACTTTAAGAGCTCGGAGTGACAAGGCTGGAGTATAGTTCATTTGGTGCGCTCCCTCCTGCTGCCACACATTTCTAATTGTTTCCAGTTTTCGGTTACAAATGAGACCAAGGCTTAGCTACATTCTGAGGAAACAAACGTTTGGCGAAGGACTGGTGGTTTGAAGTTTTTAGGTTTAACAGGCACCATGAGAATTAAAAGTAGGTCTGTGTCTCTGCAGCAGACATCCTCTCTTCCCACAGCTCAATCTCAAACTGACACACTTCTCTCTCTCTCTTTGTTGTACAGAAGTGCTGATACCTAAAAATGTCCACTCTGTCATTTCTTTTCCAGAAGATTAACTGATAGCTTTTCATGGTATACTGGGATGAAAATATTGCTGGAGACCAAGCAATGTTGTTTGTTGGGGCAATTTAGCATGAGGTGGTTCTGTAACTAAATGAACACAAAAACAAGCAAGACTCATGAACTTGGTCTCATTAAAACACTTCATTTACAGAGCATGTCTTTTTCTTTAAGCTACATAAACCTCTATGCACTCAGTGCTTTCACATGCAATTACACTGGCAGTAATAAAGATGCCACACATTACCAACCATTTACACATGGAGCATTTTTCACTGTATAAGTGGATGCCCATTCCCTCTGTGCTTTGACTTCCATTTAGACCCTAAATAATTCAGAGGCTCAGGAGTGGAGTAAAATAAAACCAAAACATGTTCCACTCTGAACAATGCAAAGCTGATTTAGCAATGTACATACACACACACACACACACACACACACACGCACACACACACACATATATATATATATATATACACACACATATATACACGCACGCATACATACATACACACAGTACATTTGTGAATAATACCCTTGTTGTGATGCGAACTCCCAAAAACACTCAACTCCTTCAGGTGTGTGAACTCTGAAAATTTCAAAAGAAGGCAAAGAGTCTCCAAAGCACATACTTCAAGCTACTGGCTCCAAAACATGACACTTCACAAGTTAGAACATAATGATAGGAAAACAAGCACTGCAAGTTCTTGCATAAGACGTCAAGATCTAGACAATGGCATTACTTTTGGCCTAAAAAGTTTTCCTGGTGTCTTTCCTTTGAGTACAAGTGAAACATAACAACAGTTTTCAACCCTCTGAGCTCCAATTACAATGAATTTGTAGCCCTTCAATGCAATTACAGCAGAGGTAGGTGGGATTATGTAATTATGAAAGGTACTCTAGTGGTAATATCTCAGAAAAGTTAGATAGACAGTTATGTTACGAACATGAAATTATAGTAAATACACACTTCAATAAGCCCTTGATCAAAAAAAAAAAAGAAAAACTCTATAGACTAGGTCCAACTGTGTGAATGCAATGCAATGATTCTCATATATACTGTGATCTACTGCAACTGACAATTTTTCTCACACAGCAGCTCACATCAATCTAAGGGATAGAATCTTCTCCAGAAAAAAGTGGGACTACCACGTGTTGCTTTGTTTCAGCTTTCTGCGGCCGTTTTTACATAGAATGGCCGCTGATGTGAAACCAGGCACCACGGAAGCCAATTCAGCTAGGAATGCATGAGCTTGCAACAGGGTGATTGTTTGTGAAACTGGTCCTTTATTATTTTTCTTCCTCCCATCTCCCTTCCAGTAGTGTGTCCAGGTCACCTCATGCCCTTGTTTCAAACCATATGTTTGAACCACTGAAGTCCTAGTCTTAGCAAAGCTTCTGGGAAAGGAATTCTGGGAAAGCCTAGCAGGTGAAGCACTCAGAAATCCCTAATGAAATTAACAAGAGCAGCTTAATGAGAATCTCTTTAACCGGGAGCAATTATTGCTGAGCACAAATCACAGTTCCAGCCAGACTGTTCCACTTCAGCAACATACTACTGTATGTCTGTACTACTGAACCACAGTCCATGCAGACAGGAGGTTTACAAGTTAGAGCACAACAAGAAAAGAAGGATTGGAAATTCTTGCATAAGATGTCAAGATCAACATTGTGACATTGTCAAAGCGTGTGTTTGTTGTTTTTCCTTTGTGTATGGCTGAAGTTTTCCATCTGAGGCACAGAGTCCTCAAGCAAAACATAAGAACAGTGCTGTGCAAAGTCAGAGATTGTCCATCATTTATTTAATTTCCAGTCAAAACATCTAGCTGAAGCACAAGTTATTCATTTTTCAGGAGATATTTCTGAAGAGATTAGATATCAAGGGAAAATAACTGAAAAAACAAGATTTGCGTTTCAGTTCATAAAATTATTAAATGAAAATGGGACTCCTACAACCATGAAAGACCTGACAAACCACCAAAACTGTCAGCATCAGAAAAAAAGAAAACAGTACTTAAAGCTTTCATCTTTGAGAGAGGAGAAAATCAAGCTCCAGTCTTGCTTCATATCTGAAAACATCCACAGGTGCTTCTGCCCATCCTTCCACTGTGAGAAGCACCATGAGTCTGAAAGGATGTGTAGCTGTCAAGAAGTCGTTACTGAGGACAGAATAAAGATGAAAAAGGAGAACATTTGCAAATAAAACAAAGAAGCTGCTGGTGTTTTCAGAACAGCGGACTGACCACCTTAGAATCCAGACCTCAGCATCACTGTGTTGAGGATTACTTTAGATTGTGTGAAGCAGAAAAAGCAACCAACATCTAAGACTGAACTCTGGAGGTGTGAAAAAGTATCCCTTCTTTGAAAATCTGACCGCAAACTGACAGCAACTCTCCGGAAAAGAATGGAAGCTGTAAGAAAAGCAAAGGGTGGACACACTAAATGCTGAAAAATATGATATTTAGTTGTTAAGGCTTCATTATAATTTTCAGTTAAATGTATTTTGTGTCTTTTTTTCCTGATGCTAAAAATTAATAACTCTCATTTAACAGTCATTTTGATTGCAAATCAAATAAATTAAGCATGGTCTTTGACTTTTGCTCAGAACTGTACATAACAACAAAAACATATCAGACACTTCAGCAACAACCCAAAGAAATTAACAACAACACAGCATGATGAAAGCACTGAGAAATTTTCCTCCCATTATCTCTCCTGCTTAAAAGTGACTCAGGCCTAGTGAGACAAAACTAGCAGCAAGAGAGCTACCTGTGCACACCTTATCATGTAGGCAACAAGCCACTCTTTATCTGTTTCCTGTTTTCATCAGGGCTCTGCTCCCGAAAGAAGACTTGTCCAGACACACATGGTGCGACTGAGGTAAGAGGCACACACTTCTGCTCACCATCTCTACTGTTTTCTGCTTTGCTGTCCATTCCTTCCAAACGTCAGAGAGCTCTCTTTGACAAGAGCTGCTATGACACCTGGTAAAGGGTACTAAGTCTGCTCTATATCACTTGTCATTACATAAAGTTGTTTGCACAGAACTCAAAACTTTGTGTATTTTTCCAAATTAGGATAATTCATAACAGTATTTGTTTTACACCTTCAGATTATTTTAATGAACTTGCGAGTAATATATTGATATTTAATTTTAAAGTAAAAAAGAGAAATAAAAAAAACAACTATGCGTCACTAAATGAAAAATACTGGAATTAAACGGTTTAACAAGATGACAAAATTAATCTATGGACGAGAGAAAAAACATTAAGAACTAAATGTTGTCATGATTTAGCAATTAGTATCACACATGCTCTCAATAACACCTTATAAAGAAATTAGCAGTTCTCTATTTCAGACAGATCTAAATTATTTAAGTATTCTTAATGCGTGAGTGATGGCAAGAAGGCTTAGCAAAACTGAAGCATAACTGCAATAATTTATCCAGACCATCTAAACTTGGGAATTTTTTTCTTGAAAATCACAGAAAGTGAGTGCCATCCATTCAACACAGTGGGATCCATCTGGTGACTGAAAGAAGAGAACATGTTTAGCAATGTAGTCCAACTTTCATCAGTGATTTGGGGTCATGATGGTGAAGTAAAACGATTAAATAAAGTTTTTATTCAGCTGAAGCAGAGACAGAAGAGTTGACGTTGGTCTACAAATAAAATGGCACTAGCCCTGCTCAAGAGCGCCAGACCCACAGGTCAGTAATTTCTAGAGGGGTCAAATTATCTATGGTTTAATGATCCATATGTACTGATGATATATTCAAATGTTACGTCACATCACTATTTCAGCGGTTCTGGTTTCTCACGTTTCTATATGGATACTTTCAAAAATGTTTTAAAATTTTACAGAAGTTGCTTTCACATGTACTAAAAAAAAGGTAAATTAAAAAATATACAAATAAAAAAAACAACCTCTTCACTGCATTGGTAACACGGCTGAAGCAGAATGCTCGTTTTAGTGTCATCTCTAAAAGCATAGTCACAGATTCACTAAAGACTGTAAAAATCTAATTATGTCACATTATGGAAAACTAACAAGTTGTGCTGTTTTGTTTGTTTATGCTGCTGTTTTTTTCATCAACAAATTAAAGGTTTTATGCCCCCAGAGTTGTCATTAACATATTTTCCAAATTGTGAAGGATAAACTAACAAGTTTATTCAGGGGTGTTAAATCAGAATGATTCTAAACAGAGCACTGCCTGGTAGGTGTTTTCTGCTCCAGCTTGTAGGAAAGAGAAAGCATGACCTGAAGGGGTTAAAAGACACTGGCCTGTGCAGTTGGCCCCTGAGGGCTAGAGTAGAATCCTGCTGCCAGTGACAGCTCACACCTAAAACCGGTTCCACAAACAAGAGCACTCAGCCAGACAGCAAAATGAGGGGCCACTGTGACTAACGTTAGAGTGTGAGTGTGTGGGAGGAAGTCGGGGGTTACAGGAGACCAGGAATGCGTGTATATGTGCCTATGCAAGTGAGTAATGAGTGGGAAGAGAGAGAGAGAGAGCGAGAGAGAGAGCGAGAGAGAGAGAATATAAATACCAGGAAGTAAAATGCAGAAAGTAAGAGTGCATGTTTGTGAAAGACAACAAATTAGTAAGATGTATGAGTCAGTTAATACGTGTGCAACACAAAACTAATTGTGTCTAAGTGCCTTAGCAAACAGGAACTGATTAAATAACAAGAACACACACAAATTTGTATTTATAACTTATCAGGACACAGGGTCATGTGTGTTCCATATGTATCGTATATATTTGTAAGATGAGGTGACAATATTTTCTCGCATCAAAATCACAATGCACTGCAACATGATTTTTTAAGAATATCATGGATATCATCAGTTCTTACTGACCAGTGGCAAGTTTCACTACAAAGACATCATAATTCATCCTGCTAAACTGGATTTGAAGCAGCTCAGTGAAATGTAGAACAAAAATACAAGACTAAAATAATTAACTGTGATACACTGCATTTGTCTTACTTGCTCACATTTGAGCCTTAAGTGAGTTGTTGCTTTTGTTAAGTTGGTTGCTGGTTTATTCATCCATAGTTCTCCCACGAGCACTGTCCAGTATAGATAATTACAAATATTACATCAGTCCTACTGATGAAAAATAAATGTCATGAAAATATCTGTATGGTGATACTGCATTTTTGCCATACCGTCAACCCCTATACGTAAGCAGCTACATGTAATAAGAACTGTCTAAGCCTAGTTCTGAACCAAATCTTAACCCAAACCTCAAGAAACCAAAAAAAATGTTTTAGCCCTTTCAGTTATAAACAAATGAAACATGTTGCTTTTGGAGAAAGCATTTTACAAAGTCAGGACTATACTGACAGCCCTGTGGTGTTCTAGCTTTCCTACACAGGCAGGAAAACTTTGACTTAAAACTACAGAAACACACATATCCACAAGCAGTCTTCTCCCAACCGCCACACTGAGACTGAGGAGCGACAGAGCTGGGGGTCAAGTGTACAGGAGTGTGACTCAGCTCGCCATTTAGGTGTGCGAGATAACAGCGACCTCACACACAGTACCTGGGAAGTCCCGCCAGCTCGGCAGGTGAGCGCGCCAAGCTCTCCCTCTCTCTCTCCCTAAGGGGCCTAACTCCCGCCGCTTCCCTCCTCCACGTGTGAAACATTAACCTTGCCTCAGGCTCTCTCCAGCCAGGGTGACACACACATACACAAACACACCTCACACAACACACAGATACCTGGCTCCCCCTGCATGCAAAGTCTACAATCTGTCGTCCTGAAATTTACAACTTACCATTTCACACATATATACACATACCACAATGAAAACAACAAAATGAAACTTAACAGTTTTTGATCATCAGTATATTTCACAAACAAACAGGGAGGTCTGGAAAATGAATCCCAGAACCAGGCTCCCTCATTCTGAACACCTTCATTATCACCTCTTTAGCTCTTTCATGAGCTGTCTGAAAAGTCTCCTGCTTTTTAATTGTCGTCAGTGAAATCACATCCCTCTCACTTTGAGCCGCTCAATATTCCTCCTCCCACTGTCCTGATCCTATAGGGGATTTCTCCAGGGAGCAAAGGCATGTTATAGATTAATTCTGCTCCGTGACTTGCCTATGACTTGCTGCTCAGCAAAGGAAACTCATTCCCCCATCAGAAACTCAAACAGAACAAAGCACAGGAACTTGGCAGGAGCAGAGTGTATAATCGAGTGTTATTGTACAAGGACGTTAGGTAGACGCGATCAAAGGAAAAGACAACAGTGTTTTGGCTGAAGCCGTTATACTGGGCCTATTTAAGGATGATTAATTATGACAGGTGACAGACTAAGTGCATTAGGCGAACAAACAGAGAGGTAGAGAGAGATGTAGGGGTTAAACAGCGAGCCAGGTTCAGCGACCTCAGAGCAGATACGGAGCTACTGATAGTTGAGTTTGCCTGGTTCGAGCTGGTGAAAAAGAGGCCTCCGGACGACACAGCACAGGAGAAGTGCAAGGACGGACTGCAAATACATTACTGAGGCCAGGCTGTTTGATTAGCAGGAGAAGGCCATGAGTGTTGGAGAGAAGGAAAGGAAGAAAACAAGGCAAAAAGAGGACAGAAACAACAAAGAAAGACAACAAAAAAGAAGAAAGAAAAGTAACAAGTACATAAAAGAGGACAAGAAAGAAGAGAAACACAACAAAAGAATAAAAGTCAAATTCAATAAAAAGAAATAAAAAGAAAAAGAAAGAAGTCAGTAAGGAAGAAAGGAAGGGAGAGCGTGTCCGAAACAAGACAGACGTGGAGAGAGAAAAGAAGAAGTCAGCAAACAAGAGAAAGAAAGGAGGAATGTAACAAAGAAGAAGTAAACACCCGCCACGCGCCTCACGCTCCGGATGGCAGTGTCTCTCTCACAGTCTTGCTTCTACACCTCTCGGGGTAAGTAAAGTGCGAGACGGCGAACGTCTGACTGAGTGTTATGGTGTGAGGCTTGCTGGCATGGTGCCATATCCTAGTATGCCCGTGCACTTTCAAACAGCAGCTGATTGTCTTCACTTGACTCAGACTCCTGCTTATCAGTGGAATAATGAGCAGACGGTGGCCTTTGATTCTTGCAGCGAGCTAGCTTTGTTCTGAATCAGAAAGATTTTGATTCAAACAAAGCCAGGAAACAAAGATTTATGTGATTAAGCCTACAAATAATGTGTCATTTACAGTTAATACAAGTTAATTACCTAGTGTCAATAAATAAAAATACAAGAAACCTGTGTAACCTTAAAACAGAGTCTATACAAAATACTACAGTACTGTGCAAAAGTCAGACACTGCTTTTTATGCTTTTTTACTCAATTTCCAGTCAGAACGACCATTAAGCACAAGTTACTTGTTTTTTTAATGACATGAAAAAGTAGAAGAAAACATTTAACAGAAAATTACACAAAAGCCTCAAACACTAAGTACAATATAAAATCTAGCAGTATTTAATTGCCTCACTTTTTACTTTCAGGCACCCCCCTGCCAACCTTTTCAACTCCTTGTGACCACCGGTGGTTCCAAAACGCACTTTGTCATATTCTTCATAACTTTCATAATTCATAAGCTACATTCAAACGGTGGGTGTCATATGAGAGCTGTAACTGTCTTCTTTCCAGTCAAATAGATGGGTAATGTAATTTTACACCCATATAATAAAAGAAGCTGAACTCAATTTTTTTTGTCTACTGAAAGTTGACCCATTTTTCCACAAATATGGGCTATAAACTATAAACAGTTGGTGTCTCTTCAGTGATCTGCTCTGTAAAAATTATTTTTGTAAAAAAATACAAAGAGCATCTAAAATCTTTGGCTTTCAGCATTAAATTGTAAGCATACAGCAATATGTGTATGATCATAAAACACATGTTCTGTTCATTTGAGGGGAGCTTTTACAAATAAATAAATAAATAAATAAAAATTTACATTTATTTCATGCAGTTACTGAATACTTTGCCTTATGATTTGGTCATGTAAATTCAGATGGACAAACCAATATATACCCTGGTGAATAAGAGGTTAAATCTTTCATCCTTCCAGCGAGTTACAGCTGTGTCCTCCCAACAAAAGCTTTTCTCAAAGGTATCACTGACATTATAAAATTAAATAAATAAGTGGTCTCTGACTTTGGCACAGTACTATACACAAACATTACAGCTTTAATAATCTATTTTTGTAGTCAATACATTTCAAGCATTGGCACTGATGCAAGACCTGCTTCAGTTTTGCATCTTGGCATACTTCTAGAGCAGACAATAACTGCAGTACTGTTTTTGTTTTCATATCAGTTCTTTCTGATGTTCTTTAAGGCAATCTGGAACTCATAAAAGCACTAAGAAATGTTCTTTTAACACCTGTTTAACATGTTAATGAGTTCCAGACCACCCGCAGATTGGCTTTTGGTGCAGTTCATCTGCTCAGCAGATACAGTCTCAATAATTGCTTATAAGTTGCTTCACATTACAAGCTCACACATGAGTGATATCTGTCCAAACTTTTAGACTGAAGCCACTTGTGTGGTCAAGCCTTTGAAGGATTGCTAACTTTGTGATACCAAGAACAAACTCTCTTTCTTTGCAGTGGTTCCAGAGCAGACTTTAACCTCAAGATATCTCAGCTGACGGGATAGACGGCCAACTGATGACTTGGATCAAGTATCCTAGGTCAAAGTTCATCAGTACACCTGTTGCCTTGAAGGTACCCTCAGGCCAATGAGAGCCAGGTGAGAGAAAAGATCTCCAGTTTTTAAAGTAGAGAATCAACCCTCTCACCAGGATCTTTATGAAGCAACACAACTGATTGTAGATCTTTCTAATTCAAGCCCAGGTTTCTGTGCTGCACTGGCTGTTCTTACCACTCTAGCACTGCAAGAGCTTCCTGTCTGCCTTAAGGAGCGGACTTCAGGGGCCTCTGTGAGAACAAAGTGTCATGGGTCGAGTACATGGTATCTCCTGAGATGTCACTCTGGGTGAACTCCTGGCCATTAATCTCTCAGCTCCAAGACTTCACTCTTGATGTCTGCATCCTCAAGCAAATTACAGCCATGTGTTCAGCTCACCAGCCTCCATTTTGAACTCTTCTGACAGTTTAGCATAATTTCAGAGAAGATTCCACTGTTGGCCTCAACTCTGGCTTCACAATCATTCATCAGAAATATTGCAATGCTTTTCAAATCTACTTCACCAAATATATTCAGTATTCTTTACAGAAAATAAACACTGAATGACCACACAAGATATTGTTACAAAAAGAGGCAGCTGCAGAATCTATATATCCCCTTGTGTCAGTATTGACTTCCAGCACAAGCGGATGTTGATTTCTTGACATAACAGGATTTGTTCATATGAAACTGTGCCAAGTGTCTTTAAATTATGCTATTTTAATTGACTGAAAAAAGACTTCACAAAGTTAAGCAAATTACACGTTATGATAAAACAATGCATTTCAAGTATAGAATTATGGCAAGTACAGCCAATGAGTATTAAGCCTCAGAGGTGGGTGAGTACGCACTGCTGAAATATCTTTAATGAATTCTCCCCGACATTACTGCACAGTCTATGATTCATTTGAGCACGTATCTCTCCTAGAGAGGTGGCAAAATGAAGGGTCCACTTATTCTACATTACCCCTGCATTCATCACAGACGCATGTGACACTGCCTCTAATCACCACATTGAATTTGAAATCGCTTTAACTTCCGACTAGGAGAGGGTGATTGTAATAGCTTGGGCTTTTATGATTCATAGGAAGGAGGCTTTAAATACCTCCCTGACAGAGTGACAAGCCCGGTGAGTGCTGAAATGGGACCATAATGATGGTTAACAAGTTCTGAGCACCAAGAAAGCATTCTGAGGCAATTTGTTAGCAAGTCCGAGAAGGCTGTTTTCTTGGACAAACTGATCTGAAACAGATGGCAGAGATGTTACTATAATCCATATGAGGCCTATAGATAGCTCACTTCAAGCAAATCAATCTACTGCAGCTTGTCAAAGCAACCGGATAGAATGGCTAATATCATGAGCCAAAGAGTGAGTGTATGCTGAAGGAAATGGCTGGATTCCCATGCCTTTAACCCAACAGAACAAATTATTTCTTTGCCAGATTTTCCAGTCCGCAGCAAGCATGAGTCTGGTCTTATTGTCTTCCGTTCTCCAGAGGTCCCCACTCCTGTTGAAGCAGCAACCAAGCTCTCATTTTGTTGTGTGGGAGTTCTCTACACCTCTAGCCCCCTTATATCTACTGCATCTTCTGCCAGATGAATAATTATGGCAGCTCTGTGAAAGTACCATGATCACCCTAACCTCTGCTGTGCTGACAAGCACCTGTGATTGTTAGGATGCTTGGCTGGTCAGGAACCTGTGTTAGAGAATGAGAAAGGTAGCTGTGTTGTCTGGCTCCTAAAAAGAATATAAAAACAGGCATGAGAGTTAGGCCTGAAGTTTTGATGTACTGAAAACCTGCCCTGGGTCACCAGATACGTCCAAAAGCATTTTTTTCATGCAGTTTTGGTGGTTGTGCTGTTGATGAAGAGAGGCTTACTCATCTTAAGAGATGGAGTAGCTGACAGGGGTCTGTAGTAAAGATAAGACCTAGAGATTGGGGCCTCCCTTCTGGCTCTGGCAGCTGCTTGACCCTGACCCAAGGTCTTAAAAATAAGAGCAGGATGAGGCAGCACATGCCTATGACCTAAAACAGCATCTATAACATATACATAAATGTGGCAAGTGTACTCCATGAGAATTTGCCTAACACGGCATATCCAGCTATCATCATATAATCCATAAGGCTTACTACAGGAGGCCATGAAAGGAGTGTGAAGGTTCAGGCTTTTATTACAAGCGGCTACCTGTTTTCAATACAGCTGCATACAGCTGCCGCCATGAGCCTCTTTGCATTCTGTTCCTCGGGTGAATGTCATCAGCCCTAGCTTTCAAAGTCACAATAGAGGGATAAAGAACAAAGAACAGGTCAGAATGTTTAACCAACGAAGAAAAACACAGCTGCGCATAATTCTTGTGACTGTGAATGTCAATGACAGGGACACTGTGAAACAGTATGGAAGTGAGCTGTGAGCTCCAGAACGTCAATTCTGAAACATGCAAATAATACAGGCAGGTGCTATGTTCTACCTGAGGTAGCTCCTGCTTTGGATCTGTCAATACCATTCATCACATATGAATGGGATCAATGGACGGTTCTATGTGACTAACATGGTCCAAATCAACACCAAATATCACCATGTGTTTAAAATAGTACAGAATATGTAACTTTGGCAAATAGAAACACATTTCTGTGTGGTGTTTCTGAGGCCCTGAGTGATCGCAGGTATCTTGTTTTCCCTCTCACGCTTTCTTTATTAGTCTCCCTAACGGCATCGGCGCCCGCCAGAATGAGTGTGAGTGCACTCATAAAAACCTGAAAAGAATCTAAGCTGGTCAAGGTCCTCCAAAGGGTCTCGACATAGATTTCAGGCTCCACTTGCTTTCGTAGCCATGCACTCAGCCACCTCTTTGTGAGTGGGGGAGGGGTTGAATTCCTGCCCCGGCATGTCCAGGAGTGATCTGCCTGGCTCCTGCCAGCAGACTCTGGAAAGCAGGTCAGGGCCACTGCTTTATGTAAGGGGCTGTGACTGTCTTGAAAGAAAAACTTTGTGAGACTTTGTGAGCCTGGCCTGGATCTTCTGTATGAGTGAGTAAACAGGGTTACATTGGAAAGCCATGTTAACAGTTGCAACTATTCCACAGTACTAAGATGATAGAGATGCCAGTGGCCATGACTGTAAAAAAGCTTAGCCTGAGCAGGCCATTGTTTTAAGATGTTTGTGTATCTGTTTGTATATATGGTTTTGTGCATACGTTCTGAAAACACATGAGAACATGTATACTTTGTGAATACACAAGCTCTGGCACTTAAGCTCTCTGGGACAAAGTAAAAGTCATCAGGATGAGTAAACTGAGGAAAAGACTGGCGACAGTGGTCAGAGCATGTTTAGCTTTGAGGCTGATAGCAAAGCTGATGCCAAAGGCTGATTCATGGTATCTGAGGACAGGGAACTGAAGACAAATAATAAAAAAAAAAAAGCCTTTGAAGTTCAGACAATTATGAACATGCCTACAGACAGGTGACGACGCAGCTAGACTTCTGGTGCAAGGACAACAATCTCCTTCAGTTTCAGAAAGACAAAAGAGATAGCTGTCAACTTCATCAGTGGTACATTAGAAATAGCCTCAAGTTCCTGGATGTGGATAAAACTGACAGCTTCTCTGAACTAGAGGTCTACATGGGTACAAAATTGAACTCCGAACCCGACCTGTACCCACAAATTGTATATCTAACCCGACCCAATCCAGCCTGGCCTGACTGGTTTTGCTAAAACTGATACCCAAACCCGCTCGAATGCACAAACAGAGATGGATTACCGCAGATGGTTTCACAGCGCTTGGCTTTGTTACAAAGCGTTTGAGTTGATAGACAGAGAATGTCATGCTGAAATAAACTGATATATTTGGTTGTACAATAACACCCTCCTCTGATCAACTTTAACACTAGTTAGTTTAACGAGTTTCTCTTGCTATGCTGATACTCTCATTACTGCTGCAGAAACGATTGATCGGACACCACTGGGCTCTGGTTGGGTAGCAGCCACCTACCCAGAAATTTGCCCGCACAGAACCATCCTCATCTGTTTCCACAGAAGCATCATATACATTATTCTCACGTGTAGCATCACTGGCTGGTATAGAAACTGCTCCACCTGAGAAAGAAGAGAACCACAGCAGGTTATGAAAACTACCCAGACCAACACAGAATCAAGTTTTCTTGCTCTCAAGGACACCTACATCAAACATTGCATACAGAAGGCCTGTAGCATCAGCAAGGTTTCCTCTCACCCCTCACATGGTCTCTTCACACCACCCTCATCTGGAGAAAGGCTACAGAGCATAAAGGCTAAGTCCACCAGACTGATGACCAGTTACTTCCCGCAGGTAGTCAGAGTGCTGAACAGACATGCCCCAGTACACAATCTAATCACACCACTATCTCAGCCAAACTTTTCACTCTCATGTTTTGCTCCAAATCTACTGTGCTTGGTTACTTCATATGAGAGCAATGCACAAGACACTTTACTCTGCACACACTGTCTGCTTTGTTGACATTGTTATCTACTGCTAAGAGCTATTACTATTATCAGTTATTTATCTTTAGGCCACCCTATTGTGAACTGTTCACAGTTTATTCTCTATTGTTCTCCACTAACAGTTGTATAGGCTATTGTAGTGTTTGTCTCATTCACCGTCTGTTCTTAAGAAGAAATTTCTTTTTAAAACCTATGCAGTTTTCATGAAGATTCTGACATTCATCAATGTTTTCTTATTTGGGATTTGTTCTTAGGTAAGAACAGAACCTATGCACACTCTAGCACAAAGGTGCAAACAATTCTACAGTTTAAAAAACACGCTATGAATCTGACAGACTTTTTCTTAGGAATTTTCTCAAGAACATATTTAAGACAAAATGTAAGAAGATAAAGGCAAATAAGGCCTAATATTCTAATATCACAAAGTAAATGGTTGAAAGATTTCCAAAGCATACATTATTTTGCAATTCGGAAAATGTTTGAAATGGACTAAATGGACAACACTACGCACAGTGAGTAGCAGTGTTCTAAAACTTTTTTTCCATGGGATGTGACATCTGTCTGGAAAATACACCAAAATCATAAGATGTGTATCTGGATGGAACTAATTTTATCAGTCGACTATTAAATCTTGGTGAAAAACAGCAGGTAGCTCAGCCTGTAATTTTCCCAGAGGAGGGAGAAAAACACAGATGCGGACAATTTTGACAAAAATAAAATCACAGAGTAGCACCTATAGAAGAGGAAAATACCCCAGAAGCCCATGTAAATTTAATCCTGTCTGTATAGCACTAAAATTGACTGATTTTATTTCATTAAAAAAAGATCTTACTCTTTTGTATTATCAAAGTAACACCTTCAACCTGTATTGTCAACCCAGCAGAATTAGATTAATTAAACAGTCAGAGCAGTCAAAAGTATTCAGGTGAAAAACACAGACCAATGCTGCTTCTAAAATTAGACTTAATCTCAAGCTAAAAAAGCCATGTATGAAAGGCACTGAGAAGAAGCAGTCAGTTAAGCCTCTGAGGTCCTGACTAAGATCTCATCTGCACGGTTTTTTATTTTGAGATGTAATGCAACCTGTACTGCTTAATTTGCCTTGAGATGATAAATTCATTAACAGAAGAAGAGTAAATAAACTTACATAATGTACTAGAAATAAAAGACTTAAACACTGTCAATGAGAGGGCAGTTCTCAACAGCAGGAGAACTGACCAATGGAACTTAAAACCCTGGTTGAAAACAAATGGTAGACAGTGCATAGCAACAGTAATCTTACTGGCAATAACAGTAATAAAAAAGCATGTTTTCTTGACCAGACAGCCTAATCCTTGTCTTGGATTACAGGGCGTTGTAGTTTCAGTAATGCTCGATGGCACAGAGAGAACACAACTCTCTTGACCACATCCTTAACAAGCCAAGGAAGCTACAGGCACATTCTTGGCAAGAAAAATGATTTGATTCAATATGTCGCAACTCTGGTCTTATTACTACAAATCAAGCTCCTTGAACAAGAGCGGTGAATAGAAATTTATAAAAGGCAAAAAGTACTAAAGACTTGAACAGAATCAAAAAAATAGTACAATAATTGCCACAGGTATGTAGCAAATACATGCATTAACCATCTCATCACGATCTCAAGCAAAACTATAAGAACATGTAGAAACAGCACAGACCAAGCTTAAGCACAAATAACTAGCATAAGATATTTTGAAAAAAATAATTTCAGTGAAAATCTCATTAATTGGCAAACCAAGGCAAGCACGAAATATTGGCCCACTGGTCCCTCTGACCATGCGGTGTGTCTCTTGCTGTGGGTAAACTTCCTAATCCTAACCTCAAGCAAACGCGAGAAACGCAAGTCCTGAGATGGCCATTGATTGGGGAAATATTTGTTGAGAGATTTAGCCAACACTTGCTTTGCTTCTCACACTGAGATATGAGTGCCCTGTAATTAAACACAGGAAAAAAGCAGCCATAGCAGTGATTATACGGTCTAACAAGTAAGCCGTCCGAGCTTGCTAATTTGTGGCAAAAGTACGGCTTGGCTGGTGGAGATATACTTGTCTAATTAAACACTAAATCCAAAGCGGAATGCAGAACATTTCACAGAACAATTCACTCAAAGACTATAGCTTAATTTTTTTTAATGAATGGAATTAAATCTGAAATAACGATAAAATAAAATAAAATTTTGAAGAAATCTGTGAGTGGTGTTAGTGGTGGTCAAAGATGGGGCCATTTACTGGAGAAGGCCTGCGAACAGGTTTCCCAAAGAAATGCAGTCAGTCTTAATATTGCTCCAATGGGGTGGACATGAAACCCTGACAAAATGTCAAGCCTCCCACGACCCTACAGGACCCCCTAACCCCCACCAACCCTATCCCAATAAATGGCTTAAAACATTACTCATATCTTGTATGTAATTTAAATTAAAATAATTTAATTACAGACACTGATTTTTTTTTTTAAGTTATATACATTTGATTTGGTTTCTGCTGTCTCCATTTTGTGATGAATAAAAGTCATACTGTGTCATTTCTGAAAGTGTGAGGCCAACAGAAACTTTTCTTAGACCTCCAATCACTGCTTTGGAGGCATTACTATCCATCATTACCTTGGTCTCTCTTTAGAATAAATTTACATGCTCTTTTTTAAAAATAGCTTTAAATAGGCTACGTCAAGGCTATGTCTACTTCTGGACATCAAGGCATCAAAGCTGTCTGATTTTAACTCTGTTATGTAGTCTTCACTGGGGTATAAGGTGTGATGGTCACAGCACTGGTGTTGCAGCGTTGGCTGGATTTATGTGATGCCTGTGTTCTCGTTGATGTATACACAGTCTCGTTATCACACTGTAGCTTTGGAATAAGTAGGATGATGACTGCACTACTGTCAGCAAAAGGCTACAGCCTAATGTCAACACACTGAGGAACTTAGCACGTTTGGAAATGTATAAAATATATTCTGAACCCTTCTTTTTTTGTGTGCCTCCTCACGTATAACGAACAGCCTATCCAACAAAGCTGTTCTGGCACAAGGGCTGAAATGAATTTTGACCTTTTCTTACGTTTCTCTATTAAATACATTGTATTGCTGTGCAA